TCCATTGCTTTGTTACGTATTTGTTACCACATCACAAAGGATACTGAATAAAAGGTGTATTCTATACTTCCAATATAAAAAAAAATACGTACTCTTTTGAATTTAATCAATTTAAATATTTAATTAATTTATATTGAATTAAAAGTAAATATATGCTATTTTATTTTAATAATATTAATAATCGCAAAAGTAATAATTAAAAGCAGTATTAATATTATTAAATAAACACTACCTACTTTTTCTCTATAAAGTTATTGTATAGTAAATAATAATGTTGTAAACTGATTGTCGCACTGTGGCGTGGTGTCGCTTATTACTATTTTAAAAATAAAAATTATTTATTATATTATTATATAATTAATAATTATATAACTACTTAATTACACACACACACACACACATATATATATATATATATATATATATATATATATATATATATATATATCCACTTTTCCTTTGTTTATTTAATTCGGTTGTATGTCTTTCTGTCGTCTTTATGTTACTCGATATTGTCAGCAATCGCGAATCGATTTTCATAGATTTTTTTAATAAATTAGTTACACCTCATGGATGGTTCCATTCTTCTTCTTCTTCGTGTACTTCATTGCTGAAGGTCGTGCTTGTCCTGGAATGTTTGCACCGATTTGTTGACTATCTTCCTCCACGCCACTCTATCCTCGGCTTGTCTCAGGGCAGTCGTAATATTAAGTCCCATTATATTTGAAATCTGGTCGGACCAGCGGGTAGGTGCTCGACCGCGTGATCTTTTGCCTTCAATCTTCCATCTTTTGCCTTCAATCTTCCCTACTACAACCAGTTTGTCCAGATTGTCTGGTTGTCTCCGGGCGATGTGACCAAAATAATTTAAGACTCGTTGGTAGCATATAGTGGATAGTCTGTCAGTAATCTTCAGTTGGTCGAGAATAAACTTGTTGGTTCTTTTTGCTGTCCACGGTATACGCAACATGGTTGGTTCCATATAAACCTTAAAAGAAACTCCATCTTCGAGGGAGCGGGAGGAGAGGGGAGGGTGAGGATGGTGAAATAATTAATTACATATAAGTGGTTTTGAAGTCAGTGTAACTTTCTTGTTATTCAATGGATAACCTTTCAAGTTGAATAGTTTATCAGATTTACCTAAATCGACACATACATTAAATAGAGTAACAATTAACTTATTCAAGGTATTGTGCCCATTTAAAACGATTTCGGTGTTCGATGTTTAATTATTTTGATACTTCTTCTAATTTGATCTGAATGGATTTTCTGAATTGAGAAAGCTTTCAGGTTTTTGAAGTTATATAGTCTACTTACTTTGTCACGTTTGAAAAAAAAATACGAGAGCACAATTATTACGATGCGCGCTCACGCCGACAGCCAAAAAGCGACATTATGAAATTAGCCGCATTCCTTTTACAGAGAGTTGTGACATACGGGATAAAATCTTTAGCTATTTTTATTCTGTTACGCCTAAGAAGTACCTATAACTTCTTACCTGCGTACATAAGTACCTACACAGACACGTTTTTTTTTTGTTGTAAGAAGATCTACTACTTATTAATTATTAATTAAAAATATTCAAGTATTATTAGTAAGTACTTATTCTTTAGAGTCACCTTTATATAGGATTTTTATAGAATTTATTTGCAACATTTTAATAAATATCAATTAACATACACCGACGCAATTAAGTTAATTATTTATATAACTACTAGCATTGCCCGCGGCTCCGCCCGCGTTCAGATGACCAAAAACCAAATACTTAGGTTTTACATATTAGTATACTCTTACATTGCAGTTTTTGTATTTTTTCTCTAAAATAAGATATTTACCCGCGGTAAAAAGTATCCTATATGTTGATCCGGATAACCAGCTATCACCATACCAAATTTTATCAAAATCCCTCCAGTGGTTTTTCCGTGATGCGGTAACAGACAGACAGACAAAAATTCTTAAAACTATAGGTTCGGCCTCTGTATCGATAATAATGTCTATTTCAATAAGATTTTCTAAAAAAATTTAATGTACAGATTTGACTTAGTTACAATTTTATTATATGTATAGATATAATTTATTTATTCGCGTAAATATAAGAAACTGTAATTTCTATGTGTAAGTGAATTCTGCCTTTAGCAGTACTGTTGAAAATGTCGCTTTTATTCCTCGGGTCTTTTAGATTGCACAAAAGTAGCCGTTTACAGCGCAATAAAGTCTCTAAGAGATAAGTTAAAACAATACCTGTATTTTCATCTTTTGTTGAAATTGCATTAAAACTTCCAGTTCCGTGAAGCGAAATGTAAAAAAAAGCAATTTTTCTCTCGAGTTTTTATTCGCCGCATAAAATCAACTTTGAAATGAAGTTGAAGTTTGTAATGAATCTACAAGCTATTAAAACGTACACTTTTGTTTACTTAAACTGTAGGAGAATAACGCTTTTATATAATCTAAATTATTAAGTGTTCTGGATTATATTACACAGCTTTCGCAAGCGGCTCCGCTCGAGTTATTCAATGATAGAAGTAGCTTGTATGTCACACTCACCCGAATCGAACAAAACGATAGATAAAGACCATTTTTGGGGTATTTTTACGTGCACATTTCTACATAATAGTTTCTTAAAATGGTTCCAGTTTAAATATATAAAGTATACGTATACGTTTAAAATATATAAAGTATACATTACTCTAATATTAATCTAAAATTTTATTCATTTTTCTTTATACACAATTACCCAGTAACTATTTTGGTGCAACTCAGAACTTGAACCCAGGATCTAACGATCTGCAGCCATTAGACCAACAAAGCACGGATATAACTATGATACGATAGACCAAAAGATTAACAAGCTTTTCTAACTGAGCAACATCTAGGTATATACATATAATAAAACTGTAGAGATTGAATATCTGTACATATATTTAAAAAAAAAATCCGAGTCAGGGGGATGTAAGAAGAGAAATAGAACATATCAATATTTTTTTTTCTTTCTCTCTCTGTCTGTTTGTACGGGCTAATCTCCGAAACTGTTGAACCAATTAAAATGAAATTTTGCATAATTTTGTGTAGTAATTTATACAGCTTAGTACACAACAACTTATTTATAATAACAACCTAATTTAGTAAAATTTGGCATGCTAATACCTTACATTGCCGGTCAAACAACAGGTTATAGGTGATAGATCTGTTTGCGCTTTTCTAGAGGCGAACAAAGGCGAAGCGAAGGTGAGCCGCTAGTATAATATTAATTTCTCATTTCAAACATTAATAAATATGTAATGATAAATTTTAATATTTTTTTTATCTTAAATATGCAATTTCTAAAATAAAACCAACATTTTCAATTATTTTTATTATAAAATCTTTGGCATATAAACAATAAGCAAATAATTTCTAAATAAATATAAAAAAGAATAATAAATATAAATACAACTTAAATTATTATGCAATTTGAAATTAAATTGAATTTTTAATTTAATTTACGTACGTTCTATATACAAATGAAAATGTTAGCGTTTAAAAATAACATTCATTCATCAATTAATAATTATTATTATATTTAATCTTTGTAAGTTTGTATGGTAAAGGTTAAAAACATACATATGTGATGATATGATGTGACACATATGTATATGGAAATAAATTTAAATACATATAATAAAAATAATTATATGTAAAACCTATCATTGATTGTGCCCAAAACATTGGTCTTTATATAATAGCTGATATTATTCGATTTCGTTTCTCGATTCGTATTATGTTTATTCGTGTTAACAAGTTCGATGGAAGACAAGAATGTTATTAACATGTAATACTTAAATAATAATATAAAAATTGTGTTATAGTAAAGTAAGTCACTAATTTAGTATAATATTAATTAATATATTTTTTGCAAATTACAAATTAAATAATAAAATTGGCTTATAACATAAATAAACTCCATTTCTACAACAACAAATACATAAATCACTTACAAAATAGACAGGTTAGGTAAAAATATTACACGAAGAAGAAAATAAATATAAAAAGCGATAAGTTAAAAGAAATTCGTAGAAAGGCCAAAGCTTTTATCCAGAATCAAAGCCACATTTGTATAAATGAAAGCTTTCTGTTATCTTATAAATACCACTAGATATAACTATGTAAATAACTAACTATATTACTTACATTACTAGGGCTTACTTTCTACTTCAACCAAGAGATAGTGTTATACAAAAATGAACCATTTCCTACCGACATACATATTTCATACATAAGAAGACCTAAAAAATTTTAAATGCATATATCAACACACGAATATGCATAAATGATTACAGTAATATTTATAGTATTTTTTCATAATTATTGTTTTTAGTTATTTTTTGTGTCGAATTATTTTTGCATAACACCATCCAAGTTTCTAACAATCCTTCACGCTTCTACAGACAATACTCCTCTTGAGACCACTTTCAATAACTTGTACTATATTGCTTAAACTACTAAACTAAATTGGAACAGCTATATAATGAGAGAGATTTATTTATTTAATGCACTTAAAAAAACAAAATGTTTTTTACTTTTATCAAAGAAAATCTCTGATATCATTTATTGAATTTATTTTTTAACTTTATTAAATTGTATGGTTATTGCAATTATTAATATGGATAAACATATAATAGGAATGTTTTTTTAAATACTATAATCTGTATAATTTAAATATATTTATATTATACATTCATAAAAGAATAAATATTTGGTTTGTAATTTCACTTTTTGTACATGTCGGCCCTATACAAAAGTGTATGCTATAAAATTATTGTAATTTTATACTAAATTAAATATAAAGGCAGTTTACACAGATAATTAGTGCGTACACTTTTTCTCACTAGATCTGCAATAAGAAATTAATTCAAATGAAGAAGTAAATACGTGTATAAAGGCCCTTATATTAAAAGGTTCTAATTCTGTTATCTTTTTGAATAACAAAATCGTTCTATTATAAGTAAAGAATTTTTATATTATACGGCGGAATGTTTTCCAGTAATGATTCCAGTTGTTTTGTTGTACTCGTATTCTCTGTGGCCATTCAGTCGCTGTGACTCGCATCTATCAGAGTTCTGCTTTAAAAGACCTTTCTTATCCCTAAAAGTTATTTTTAAACTCTATTTTATATAATAAATGTAAAAGTTTGTATTTATGTTTGTTTTTCTTAACACGAACGACTGGACGGATTAGGATTAAATTTAGTACACAGACAGAGTAATAGTATAAGGCATACTGTTAAGCATTAAGGGACTCGACTAAATAAAGCGAGAGTACATAAGCCGCCCGTGTTATATAAATTAATAAAGAATAAACTTATTTTATATTGTTATTTAAACTTATATTATGTACATACATATATTTTATATTATAATAAATATTATAAAATTCTATATATTAATTATATTATTATTATTATATAGATTAATTGACACAATTAAAACAATATCATTGAACATTGATATATAAAATTAAGAATAACACACAGTATTTTTACCTTGAGTTGATACTTGCTTCCCTTTTATTCTTCTTTTTAATACAACAACTGGCGATGACGCCTTGTTTCCTCCAAAGCAATAATAATAAGTCGAGGGCGAAAAGGCAAATAAATACTACAATTATTGCTATAATTATTATAACGCCTCCTGATAATAGTGGCTCATCTTCCGCTAGAATACATATAAGTGTTTATATGAAAAGTATATTATCAACTACTAGCAGTACCCGCGGCTTCGCCCGCGCTTAAACTTCCTATATAAACATTAGTTTTACAATAATGTATGAAGGTCTGCCCGATTTGTTGACATTTATAATTACTGCTCCGCTCCCTTGAGTAGTAGCATAAAGATATTTAGCATATAGCCTTCCTCATTAAATGGACAATCTAATACGAAAAGATTTTTTCAAATCGGATTTGTAGTTCCTGAGATTAGCGCGTTCAAACAAACAAACAAACAAACAAACAAACAGACAGACAGACAAACAAACAAACAAACAAACAAACAAACAAACAAACAAACAAACAAACAAACAAATAAACAAACAAGCAAACAAACAAACAAATTCTGTCTCTTTATAATATTAGTATAGATGAATAAAGTTTTATTATACAAAGCAAATAAAAGTATTCAAAAATGTATTAATTACTTTTAGTAACTTTAAAATAAATACTAATGTTTTAAAGAGATACTCATTTTATAAAAAATAATATAAGCATTTTTTTATTACCAGTTTGTTTTTTTTTTCTAAATTAGTGTAACTAAGTATTTACTAATTATACAATAGTAATTATGTAAGTATATTATTTTTATTTTTATTTACCTGATGTTGTAACTATGACATGTGCTGTTGAAGAATTGCCTATGGAGTTATGAGCGACAAGTTCGAAGTAATAAGTTATATTTGACTCCATTTTATTGAGATCAAACTCATCAGTACGTTCGATGCTCTCTTCTTCACATTTACCGTCTTCTACTAATCCGTTAAACATCTGAAAATATAATTTAATCTACATTCAAGCATGTATTTACAAACTAAATAAAAAAATATATTTTTAATATAAACATACTAGCAACTCGCTTCGCTCGGGTTCGTTCCTAGTGAAAAACAAAAACAAATCTATCCCATAGAAACCGTATATTTTCCGGAATAAAAAGTAACCTTTGTGCTATTCTAGACTATAGTCTCTCTGTGCCAAATTTCACCTAGATCTGTTCAGCCGTTCTGGCGTGATTGAGTAAGAAACTTCCATCTAAATTTTCGCATTTATAATATTCATTATTAATACTTATTAGTAAGGGGATTAATATGGATTAATGGGATTTCAATTTAGTACCTATTACGTATATTAAGTAATTTAATTTCATTCATATTTATTATAGTTCGATACAACTTAAGACGAGGGTATTCTTATAATATATAATTAACCTTAGATTAAGTTGAAACTATTTTATACTTTTATTTTATTAAGTTTTCGAATAGATCAGACGAAAAATATTTTATTTTGATATCTTTTCAATTCATTGTGGAAACAAAGGGCTGGCTAGTGGTTACGTTGTTTGCAAATATTTTTATTCGATATTTTTAATTAACATCCAATATATCCGATGTTTTATTGAGCTTTACAAATTATTAATTTTATTTAACGTTTACGTTTCTTATTTACTAGCAAAACCCGTGGCTTCGCTCGCTCTGAAACTCATCCCCTATTTTACTCCCTTTGAGATGAATTTCGAAAAATGCTAAACCACGTATTTATTTAATTGTATTGAAGAGCATTAATACTAAGTTTCAAGTAACTCTGATCATACATTTTTTTGGGTTGTATTATAACGTGTTTTCCCGTGGAAATGAGATAATCTCTTACAGTAAAAAAGTAGCCTATGTCACTCTCCAGCCCTCCAACTATCTCCACACAAAATATCACGCCAAACCATTTTGACGTGATAGCAGGACAAACAAACATTAGTTTGGATAGTCGAAGCTGTTAATAAAGTTATAAGTATGATATGATAAAAAAAGTTGAAATCTGGCAGTTCTTAAAAAATATCTAAAATTGCATAAAATAACATAAAATAAATAGTGAACTATTTTTTTTCGCTTCTTATTAAGTTTTTACAAAATTGCACTCACTGGACAATATCTTATAGTGTAGGAGTCGACCGCGTCATCGCTATCTACAGTTTTCCACTTCAATACCTTAGAAGTTTCAACTAGTTCTTGTACATTTTCCTCCCACCTCGGTTCTTCTGGTGTTGATCTGAAATCATTTCTAAAAAATTGGTCTATAATATTCTTTATCAATTAAAGAAATGAAACTTAAACGTAACATCGACCTTTTTGTCAATATATGAATCCTAAAAGTAACAAGAAATGCCTACTATTTTTGAACTCGAACGAATTGTTGAAACCCTTATCGACCAAAATCAATTAGAATTCCTAATCTCTTTCGGTGCGTTCACTAGATTTTTTTTAATATTGTATTTTTGTTTGTTTTTACAATATATAAAAAGCTTATGTCTGTAATTTGAAATAATAAATTTAAGTTTTATTATCATCTTTTTATTTATATTAACAGGAATCGATATAAATGCTTTAATATAAATTAATATCCGAATCGAAGACATATTTTGTTAAACGTTGTTTATTTGTTATAATAATATTCTATTTTGTATTTATTATTAGGTATAATTCGTTGACTTTCTTTCGCCAGTTCTTTTCTGGTCTAAAGCTTTTTCTTTCCGAACTGGTAGTATATTTATGACGTTCAGTAAAAAAATGTAGTAATTTAATGCTACATAACATATTTCGAATGTGAATTTGATTAACCACTACTAACAAAAACTGGTTCTCGACTCGTGTTTCAGTAAAAAAAATACCTATATAATAAAATATAAATGAGTATATGGTAATATTTACCCATAAGTAATGTGGATTTAAGTAATCTATACAATGTTACGTATATTTGTACATAAATGGGATGATATCAAAGTAAAATCTTGAATTTTCGCTTCATGAACCTGAATATGGCTTAACGCAAGGACGTTTAAACGGTAGGTATTGCTTCAGAAATCAGAAGAGAAGCCGTAATTTCTAAAGTAATTTCCTTAAATATATTGAATAAATTATTATTTAAATAAATAAAATATTTAAGCGATACTCTTAAAAATTAAAAAAAAACGTGTGTGCACACGCAACAAGTTATACTTCTTAGGCGTAACAGAACAAAAATTGCTTTCATCCCGTATGTCAAAACTCTTTGTTTGTAAAAGGAATGCAGCTAACTTCATCATGTCGCTTTTTGGTTGTCGATGTGCGCGCGCGTCGTAAAAATCTACTCTCGTAAGTTTTTCTAAACATACCAAAATAAGTATTTATAACTTCAAAAAACTATTATTTTTATTCATTTTCAATTATTTCATATTATATTTACTTCAAGGATTTCTGATTGGTTTGTTTCACTTATTCAATAGAGAATTCATTTTTTATATTCATATAGCAAACATAGCTTGATATAATATATTGGAAATAAGTTTTCGGATTTCGTCAGAACTTTCTATATAACCAAGGATATATTCGTACTCATACTTTTGTCCATGCCATATTATATGACTTCAGTATTTGTGTACAAATTGAAAAACTTCTATAGCTCTCTTCTATAGCTTTTTTATTCTTAACAGGATAATTTATAGACACCAATACTAATATTATAAACATTTATAAAGTACCTCTGCCTATCTGTTTGTGACCCTCTCACCCTTAGATCGATGAACTGATTTCGATGGAATTTGGTAAGGACATAGCGTCAGGAGGACGACGTAAGTTTTTTAACCCCACTCTACTTACAATGCGAGCAGACCCATGGAAAAAACTAGTACTGTATATAATGTTTATCTTATTCGGAAATACAGTATAAATTCAATACGTATCTTAATACCAACAGTGAATTAATCTGCAAGATAATTTCACATTAATACATCGTCAAAGCTGATTTATGCTATAAAAAGTATTCAATACACCATTTCACTGGAAATACGTATTTTCTGATATTTCATTTTCATTTTTAATTAAAAAAGATAATGCGCCTCTTTTAAAATACCTACCGATGATTTTAGACGCTGTATTTGCTACTTTATTCTTTATAACTTACTAGCACAACCCGCGGCTTCGCTCGCGCTGAAACTACCAAAAACACTTTAAAATGGTAGGTTTCATACAAACTTTCATCGGCTATTTTACCCCCTTATGAGATGAATTTCGAAAAATGCTAAAATACGTATTTAATTAATTGTAATGAAGAGCATTTATACCAAGTTTCAAGTTATTCTGATCATAAATATTTTTTTGGATTGTATAACGTGTTTTCCTGAGGGAAACAGATAATTTCCCGCGGTAAAAAGTAGCCTATGTCACTTTTCAGCCCTCCAACTATCTCCACATAAAAAATCACGCCAATCCCCCAAGCCGTTTTGACGTGAAAGAAAGACAAACAAACACTTTCACATTTATAATATTAGTATGGATATTCATGTTGGCGAGATTAATGAAATATTAAATTACATGAAAACTTTAATGATAAAACTTTATACTTGGCAAATAGTTATTTAGGCCAAGTACCGAGATTGGTTTAAAAAGTTAGAAAGGCGTAAAATAATTTGACAACAATATTGTTGTAATAGAGCTAGTTAGGGCCCGGAGCTTCTAGACCTACGTAATTTTAGCAAAGCTGAAATTTTTGGAGATAAATTATTATCTATTATGTAGGTTAGAAAGAAAAGTACTGTAAGTTAAGTATATCTATTTACTAATTTGAAATCGGAGCCGTTTTACGGGTAGCGGGTATATAATGATTATAATTTATAGGACAACCATATTTTCTTTCCACATATTATATATTTTTTTAATTTCTTTTCATCAACGTATGTGTGGATGAACATATAATATGTGGGTTTTGTAACAGCTTATCAAGCTATAAACCATACAAAATATCAGAGATATTTGTTAGTAAGTATACTTTACAATCGAATAATGTCAGTTTTACTTCGCAACTTTTAATGCCTTAAATAATGACAACGCTGTATTAAAATTGAACTCACAATGTAAAGAAATACACCTACCCTACTATCTACCTAGTTCCTACCATCTAATCAGACGTCGTCAGTGTAAAAATTATACAAACACACTTAAATGAGAAAATGCTACGAATATAATTTCCACAAGCGACTTAACCTCGCTTCGCTCGGGGCTAGGTATGTTTTTTTTGAGCGGAACTCTAACTCTTTTTCTAAAAATAAGTAGCCTAAGTTACTCCTTCTAGCGTCAGCTACCTGCCAGTGAATGTCCCATTAAAATCAGTTTAGCCGTTTCGGAGATTAGTCGGAACAAACAAACAGGCAGACAATTTTTAAGTATCGTAATATATATATATATATATATATATATATATATATATATATATATATATATATATGCATTTAGTAAAAAGCTGCTATTTTGACATTACAAACATACACTTCAATTTAATTTATCTATATATATTATATTAATAGTAACTAGTACAGAAGGAATATACCGAGTGAAGGTATAACAACGTTCATAGTGAACTATGTACGTATCTACGTATACTTATCCCACAAGGGAAATCGCGGGAATTAAAAATATGACGCGATAAATGAACGACGATACGAGAAATAAATAAAATAATTTAATTATTGTGAATAAATTGTAGTATAAAGTCGTTAGTATCAAAACGGAAACATGTAGCATAATGAAGGCTTCGAAACATGGCTGCAATTTATGATGTATTTTCGTTGAGTTTTTGTATCACAGATAAATGAATTTCAATATCAAATAAATGTGTTGAATTTCAAATGAAAAAAAAGTATTTAATTTTAGCTTCAGCACTCTATTATAACGTCATATAAAATAGCATTTATAGAGCTAATATTTTGAATGTTAACCAGTAGACTCTTAATTCCGAATTCGAATTCTGAGGTAAGTGATTTTAAATTTTACAATATTATATAAGTATATATTACACAAACGAAGTATTTTGAATGAAAAATTGATATAAAACTTTTTTTTATTATTGTACTTAAAATAAATGTGTTAAAACTTGATAACGTGAACTTTGGGAAGAATGCTTTTGTTCCTTGGTTTTTTTTCTTCAAATTATTTCTTTGTTGAATTCTTATATAACAGCCTATATACCATACTAGCATTAAACATGTTTTTTGGTAATGAACCAGTGCTGTGGGTGTAGAAATGCTAATTACATATACATGCCCCAAGAGGATCGTTGATACACTAATTCCCACGATTCAAATATTAAATAGACGTTGTCGTCACTGGAACGGAAATGCAGAATTGCAATTTACAAATATTATAATTTTATATTATTTTCCCATTTCATTCATTAGTATTTATTGAAGTAAAAATTAATAATTTGATACATATAATTATGTTTTCCTTATAAACATGACATTTTAATATTAGAAACTAAAAAATAAATAAATTTTAAACATTTTTCGTAAGAATGAATTTTCCACAGCGTAATATAATTTAAAAATATGAGATAGCTCAGCGCAATCTTAGACAGTCAGTATAATTCCAGCGGACTCCAGTTTAGTGAATATTCATACTAAAATTTGTGAAAATGATATGAGATTTTAAAATCACGTAACCTACATAATAATAGTTAATTCTATTTTATTGAATGCTTAAGGGGTATTTCACGTGAAGCGGACAACGAAAATAAATTGAAGTTGTTAAAATAGTTCATACTCTGTTCAGTTATAGTTCTAGTGGACATGGATGTGCAAATACATTATTTTTTTCGTATTATGCTTTATTGCCGAGTTACGAGCTTTTAAAAATTTACGAAGTATAAAATCCGTATTTTTTGAATGCTTAATATTTGTCTCAATAAATTTGTAAAAATATCTAAAAAATATCGTTTCTTAAAGTTAAAAGTTATCTACATATTATAATTAAATCAATTTCAATCCCAATTAATAGAACCGTACCTGTTCCATTTTCCGTATTACTTACTCGTATGATTTTAACTACTTTTAGCAGTATATTATTATATACCTATAGTTGCAAGGAAAACGAATATTTGAAGTATAAGAATAGATGAATAATATGTTGAAAATTGTATTGAATGTAGAGCACAGCATTAATTTTAATTTGTTTTTTTTAATATTATTAGGATGTTACATTTGTAGTGTCTCACTCACCTGTATCCAAAAAAGTGAAAAATACACTTACTTTTCGAGGGTAACGAATTTAAACGTTTCACTCCACGATCCTTCACCAACATTATTAATCGCTGCAAATTTTATATAATAACTAGTGTTTGATCGTAATCGGTCCAGCTTAAATGGTCTGTCGATGGACCAGGTTCTATTCATATGGATATCAGTTATATTATAGTTCTCAGAATCGTCATACTCTGATTTATATCCTATAACTTCTGGTCCAAACACTTCATATGGACCTTCTATTGCAAATGTCACGGAATTCGATGTTACGTTTTGTATCGCTACCTAAAAGGAAAATCAGTTCATAAAGAAAGGAATGACAAAGTTAAAATATTACAATTTAAATCTATATATTGGATCTATTTGTAACAAAATACCCGCAATCCCAGAATTCAAAGGGATAACACTACTATGAACAGGGCCGGAAAAGTGGGGGCCTTACGACCATTAAGGAGACCCCGAATAATATTACAAAAAAAATTGGTTTTACCTTTTCTTTAGTTTGCCAAATTGGCGAAACAACAAAAAATGGTTCATTGACTTCACATATAAATACCAACTTAGCAAACCTAGAAATTTGTATTGTGTGTGGCAATCAGGTTAGTTGCCCTTTCCTAAATTCGTCTTTGACTACGGACGTGCTACCTAATATTTAATCGTAATATTTAATCTTATAATTTTATAGAAACTTACACTATTAATGGCCGAAGGGACAAATCCTTCCTGAACAAGAAAAGTTTTATTCGCTTGACCAAATTCATTTTTCGCCACACACTCAAATATTCCATACAACGTTTTATTTTCAATTATAAGCGGATTGTTATGAAAAGAGCTAGCCATAATCTTATTAATTTCCACTTGTTCTTCAGTTGATAGCTCTTTATTCGTTAATCTAAAAAAATATTATGAAAATATTACTTTATTGTGAATTACGTTTTTTTTATTTACCAGGATATGAAATGAAAAGATTTTTTTGTTATTTCTTATAGGTACATACTTTTGTGATTAATTAGTATTTAATTAGAATTAAAGTACAATTTGAAACAAATAAAAAATATTGATATTTAAAATTATTCTAATATCAGCAAATAATGAGTTAATTTAAACAGTTACTGCAACAATTCACTCAGTAATTCTTAGATAAAGGTTTAAATAATTGTATATTATCGATCTAATATATTATTAACTTTCCTATGAATAAAACCCGAAACTACTCATACAAATTCAAATATAAAAAAAATATACATACCTATAGTTCCAAGTGACTACCGCGGGAGGGTTGCTCTGATGCTCGCAACTCAAATTAATGTGTTGATTATTCCAAACCCAAACTCTTTCAAACGGTACATTAAAATATGGCGCGTATAAAACACTTAAGTACATTTCTGATGATGCGCTGCTAACTAAAAATATGTAAATAATGTTTTTATAATAATAGTTTTCTTTCAATATTTGTATTTATTTTTTACCAGTATTGCCCGCGGCTTCGCCCGCGTTCAAGTGACCAAAAAGCAAATTTTTAGGTTTTACATATTAGTATACTCTTACATTGCAATTTTTGTATTTTTTCTCAGAAATGAGACATTTTTCCGCTGTAAAAAGTATCCTATATGTTGACACGGATAACCAGCTATCATCATACCAAATTTCATCAAAATCTCTCCAGTGGTTTTTCTGTGATGCGGTAACAGACAGACACACGGACAGACAAAAATTCTAAAAACTATAGATTCGTTCTCTGTATCGATAATAATGTTTATATAAATAAGATTTTCCAAAAAATATCTAATGTACAGATTCGGCTTAGTTACAATTTTATTGTATGTATAGATGATGTTGCTAGCGAAAATAATGCAATGTAGATGTACAATGTACATATTATATTATGTAACATTTCTAGTAAGTATTAATTGAAATTTTAGTTATTACTTTCTTAGATTTACGCGAATATTAGACATTTTAAAATAAAACTATGTTTTCGGGTTTTTTTGCGGATTGCGAAAACCAAAAATTAAAATAAATCTGTGAAAAAAATCCTAAAAGATAGCTGTTTTATTTTAAAATGTTAGTTGATCAATTATTATATATATATATATATATATATATATATATATATATATATATATATATATATATATCAAAAAATGAGAATATAATATGTAAATAAAAATATCTATTTGAAAATTTATTTTTACGCGTCGATATATAAAAATAGTTGGACTTAAAATGAAAGGAAACCGGTGAATTGTAAAAAGAATTACCTACCTTTATTAGTCGCATTGCAAATATAAACTCCGTCATGAGTGCGATTGATTCTAAGAAAACTCAAATAGAATTCTATATCAGTAAAGCTCGTATTCTTAGTATCCCATACGAAGCTGAAATATTAATATATTAAAATTTAATAAACAAACTAATATTAATTTTGTAGGAAAACTAAAAAACACTGATAACATTTTTGTTCCTTTCTTAACTTTTAAAAAATATATTTCACAAACGTAACAGAGTTAAAGCGATTTAATTTAGGTATAGCTTTAAAAACTCAGTTGCAATTACGTATTAATGGTTAATTAACTAATTTTATTTAAAGATAAATTTAAATTTAATAAATATTTATAATTTACTTCTGTTTCGGTTATTGATAATACTAAATATTTATAAAACAAAATATTTGTGCATATTTTATCTAAATATAAAAAAGTTGTTGGAAATTTAACATAAATACCTTTGATCATCCGAATCTTCACCTAAGAAATCTAAGCTCATACTTGGAATCGGATGTCCTGATGCTTTACAAACGATCTGCGCTATCGATCCTTCTATTGCAGTTACGTTATTGAACTCAGTTATATTAGGTGGGAGTAATACCTAAAAATAATTTCATTCAAAGGTCACTGTTACTCCATACAAAAGGTTGCATTATCCTTTAGAACTATAAATAATACTGTACTGTTTTGATTTTGCTATTAAACTTTAAATAAAGCTATTTCTGTTTTACAACAATAAATCAAACTAAATGAAAACATACTTTATTCAAATAGACTTTTACAATCTCTTTTGAATCGCCATTTTTAACATTTCTAAAATTTATATTACATGTAAGTCCGTGATTGTGGCCTACCAAATTCAAGCTGCCAAAAATGTACCACCAAAATAATAGAAAACAATTTATCAAATATATAATAATCATAAATATATATTATAAAATATTTATATTTTGTCACATAAATACCTCGATTTCAATAGCTGAAGCGGAACTGCCGGCGTTGTTAGTTGCAATACATTCGTATGAACCACGGTCTTCATACGTAATTGAATCAAAAATTAATTTATTTCCGTCTTGGTAATATGTGGTATTAGTTTCTTCGGTATCCTATAAATACTATTTATTAAGTATAAATCTCATTTAATTGAAATATTAGTATTAGTTTTCTTATAATAGAGCCTATAAATTCTAAGTAAACAAGTTTCTTTCTTGACAATAAATCATTAAATACATTTTTTTATATTTCATATCTTAATTATTCAATAAAAATATTTAACTTGGGATTTGAACCTACTATTTTTATTTTTAAATGATAAAATATACCAAACTTACATGATGGATGTATCAAAAATATGGAAATCAAAAGATCTATGGCTGAATAAATCAAAACTTTATAAAAGAACTTACCTCTTCAGATATTTTTCTCCAAGTATATTCTGGATGCGGAACTCCGGCAACTAAACACTCGACAGATAAACTGCTGTTAAACGGCACTATTCTGTCTGGAATTGCTAATAGTTCTACTATTGTCGGTGTGGATATTACCTAAAATAATATATAGCAAGTTAAATATTATATTTATTTAAGTTTTAATTGCATTAATATGATAAATGCCTATTGCAAGTGAATGTGTGTTTGTTACTTTTTCTAGCTACAGCTGCTCAACTAGTTCACAGGTCAATGCATTTGTGCAAAAAATTTTATAATAAATAATCATGATATTATTTTAAGAGTGTTTATTAAATATTGGGTTAGAATGATCTTTAATTAAGTTTATTGCCTTACTTATATAATATACCTACATATATTATTTATCCTATTCCACGCATCTAAGATGACGGTATTTCTTAAAAAGTCTTATTAAAGCCTTCCTAACACATTCATTTCTAACACTGACCTATAGCCATTATATTCTTACCTTATAATTTTCTTCTTTATATGTATGTAAAATCTGATTAATCGTGAAATCCCAGAAAGTATAAATGTTACAAACAATTTGACAAGTAAGTACTCATAGGAAGTAGATATTCGCTAAGAAAGTAATTTTGGAAATTAATCCCCTAAAGGGATTAAAAATGGTTGGAAGTTTGTATAAAAATTTATTATTTTTTAAGCAAATGCTAGAATTATATTACATACTAGCGACTCACCCTCGCATCGTTCGGGATCGTCCCTAGCTTGCTTCCCAATACAAAGTTTCATCCCTATTTTCACCCTCAAAGGGATGATTTCCGGGATAAAAAGTATCCTATGTCCTTTCCAGGGTCTCAAACTATGTTCTCACCAAATTTCATTTAAATCGGTTCAGTAGATACAGAGATTACTCCCTGCAACCTCACAAACTCACAAACTTTACCTCTTTATAATATTAGTATAGACAAGTAAGGATTTTAAGTCATTGTTAACCCTTAAGGTTGATTTGTATAGTATACTACACACTAAACTAAAAAAAATATTAAATAAGCTATACGTCGATGATTGTCTTACTAAAATTTCAAAAAAAAGTTCTCCCCTAAGCGGAAAACAAATTACTTTTAAAAGTTAGGAAGTTGGCGTCATTTTTAAATTAAAAAGTCGTTAAAACATTTTGTTCACGTAATAATATACAATATATAATTCAAATAGACTAAACAAAGCGTTGACTCTATATGTTTAAATTAGCTTATTGTACTCTATACTTAAGTACTTTTATTCAAGACGAGAATATAAGTTTAGGGACAATAATGAATGGTCAAACAAAAATGAATGAATTTATGAATCATATCCACGAATTCTCAACGTAGACTTTTGTTAGTCACTCATATTGTTTCATATCTTTTATATGAAATTCATTAAAATATTTTCTTTATATCATGAGCCCGACGTGTTATGAAAAGATAACGTTTGAATTTCATGTGAAAAACTGAATGTGAACAAAATATGAAAGAAAAATAAAGCTTTTACTAATATCATTGTTATACTCTTGTGTATAAAAATATATTCTTCAAACTTATCCCACTTAAAGTGATTTTTTCTATAAAGAATTATTGATTTCCTCGTATCTAATTCTTTTGATGTAAGAACGATATTAGCATTGTTGATCATATGAATTTTGAAGAAACTTTTGTTTGTGACGTTAGTAAAATAGAATAAACACTTAATTATTATTATTATTCTAGTTTTTAAGCTCTGCTTATGTGGTAGTTATGACAAAAAGTGAAGTATCTCAATTCTCAATTTTATTCCAATCCATTAAGTCATTATAGTATTAAGAAGTAACAAACACACATGCTTATTAATAAATAATTCACTTTTATACGCGATGATGATGCTCCTGACTGATTTCGGCAAATCTCACTGAGACTAGCCAACTGCGCAGGAGATATTATAGTGCATAAGAGCTCGCGCAGATACAAGTACACTCTCTACTCCTTTGCACTGTCAATGTCAATGTAGGTACATACTTCGACACAACCAGTGAGAGTTAAGGCGCTGGATCAATGGCTTTACGTGCTCTCCCAGGCACGGGGGTGTAACGCTGCCTACATCACAACTCCGGGGTGCTACTGAGAATTCGTTAACAGGAAGTCTCAATAACTAAACTTAGCTCGAATCGGGTCTCGAAACCGGGGCCTCTGAATCTGTGGCCGTACCTAGCGTGTGGCCGACCTAGTTGCTAGGTCACTGAGCAGTTATACATATGACATATTTTTTTACCATCAATAGGTATTATGAAATACTCGTATTTTGAATAATAATATTATCATGTAATAAATATTGCATAACGATATTATTATGTAATATATAAAACTATACGGTCATTGATCAGATTAAATAAATTTTCAATTTGAATATTTTGTTGTTAATAAATATAAATTCATTCAAACATTTAGAATTGAAATTATGTAAATGAATGTTACACAAATTCAAATGACAGTATGTATGTTTTCACTTTTTCTGTAAATAGAATCACATAAAGTGGGTCAAATGTTGATCAGTGCTTCAGCATCTTTTAAATATTCATGTTAACGTCGTTAGAAATATGAGGGGCGCTTTGAAAAGCCTCTTGGCAAGATAAAAATTCAAGTTTTTGTAAAAATATGTTTCTAAATAATATTAGTATTATTCATTTATTTATATATAAAATTTATAAATGTAAAATAAACCGTGTTTTATCTTTATACTATATTATGGTAAGAATGTTAAATTTTATCAAAATATATTATTTATAATTTTAAAACTAAAAATATAAGCTTTAATATGATATAGGATTAAAAATGATTCTTAAGCATGTAGAGATCAATCATCATTCCCTTTATCAGAGATAAGTGAAAAAGAATGAAGATCATTTAGTACTCTATCCTTGTTGAATACACTACTTTGTTAAGTAGCGTCAGCATAGTGTTACGATGTTTATGTATATTGTAAAACTTTGTTTAAATTCATTATAACAAATGAAAAGCAGATTATAATTATAAATTAAGACTAAGTGCAGGTTTAAATAAAATTCGGAGTCTTTCAAGCCTTTCAAGGTGTAAAATGTAAATGTTTTTGAAACACTGTTTATTTTTTATTATTATTTTTCCATAATATACTTAACTGTAACGAGTTACGACTTGTTATACGAGTATATATTGTAACACCTCATATAATTTCGTAATATTTTATTATATTCATACATAAATAATTAAAGTCAACTAAACCTCAAAAATTAAAACTTTTCAAGTTTATCATTTTAACTCTCTAAAATTATTGCTTAACACTTACCTCTACTTTAATATCTTTATCGATTGCTTCGACTGTTTCAATTTCAAATGCAATACATTTATAAACGCCTTTATCATTTTCTGTAGCGCCTATTATGACTAGTCCTTCTGAAGTGATTTTGTATTTTTCGTCATCTGTTATCTAAAACCAAAATATTATTTAATCTATACATATAATAAAAATTTAACGTATCACTGTCTGTACATGGAAGATATATGAGAAAAAATAGTATGTACCTTTATCAACGCAAATAGTGTCCAAAACAATGATTGTAAGAATTTTTGTTTGTTTGCCTGTGCGTTTGTGCACGCTAATCTCAGAAACGGCTTATCTGATTTAGATGTGGTTTTCACTAATATATTGTGGTAAGCTTCACTTAACATTTAGTGTTTGTTTCATGTCAATCGGTTCATAAATAAAAAAGAACATTTGTTAAACTATTTATATCTATCTATTCTTTTTCTGTTCAGTAGCATTGACTGAAACTTTACTAAACTTCATAATAATGATCTATACAAAATTATGATTATATAATAATAATATTTTTATCCCGGAAAAATGTACGGTTCCCGCAGGATAGGTTTTCTTTTGTTTTCGCTAGTGTTATAATACAATATTATTTAATGTAATATTTTATAGTAATATAAAAACTACCTACATGTTCATAGAAACCATGTTAACTTGCAAAATTATAACATGTTTCAAAGTGATAGAGCGTCTTACTTAATAAGATTTACGTATAAACTTTTAGTTCATGCTACAAAATTTTCATAAGGTATTTTCCATGTATTTTAAGGACTTAATATATTCTTAGACATTATTATTCTAATAGGTACTTACCTCGACAAATTCTTCTCCTCCTTTGTGCCACCGTATTGATAAATCTGAGTCACCTCGTGCCTCGCATGTTATTAGAGAATCTTTTCCATTTATAGCGTATTGTACATCTTCAGTATTCACGAAGTATGGTGGATCTATAAACATATTTGTTTAATAATACACACTTTAATTTTTCAAAATATTCTCATTCAATAAATCTTTAAACACAATTAAGCATTTTGTATTGAAAAATATTATACCATAAATATTTTTTCTCTACGAGAATCGAACCCGTGATTTTGGTAAAAGGACAAGGTTGTTGTAGGTAGCTATATTCATTTTATTTGTTTATATTCTGCGTATGTTTATATTATAATAAAACACATGGGCTGAAGTATTAATCGTAAGGTTAACATGTGATGTCTGGTTTAATTAAAATATTAATTACTGCTACGAATTAATGCTTGTTTTTCAATTGAGATACATTATAATTTATAATGTATATTATGATAATAAAATATGTATCTTAAGCATTATAAATGCAGTTTCATTATAAATATATAATAATAATAATATTCTATATTGAAGTGAAACTTCTATAAATCGTTGTGATTTGAAACTCGATTAAACAAAAATGCGTCACGACAAAGAGACAAACACATAAACATATAGGATTAACCCGGCGAGAGAACGACATCGAATACATTACTCAGGAAGTGAAATATAATAAAAATAATACTGAATAATATGTAACGTAATATATGTTAAATAAAATGTAAAGTAGCTTTTAAACTTGGTAAAAATATTATAAAAAAATAAAAAAATAAATTTACAATAATTATTCTACTCCTGATACTCTATTTTCATTTCATTTGCTACCGCGTGTGTGCGTGTGAATTGCAAAGACACACACACACACACACACACACGCACACACACACACACACACACACACACACACACACGCACACGCACATACACACACACGCACACACACACACACACACACACGCACACACACACACACACTTTTTTTTACAATTTATATGTTTACAAGTACTTGTCCAAAGGACCTCAGTAAAAAAACTAGGTCTTTTTAAATCTTAATCTTGAAAGATTTTTTTATAGATATAATTTTGATTTAAGTATTCATATTTTCACAAATTATGATTTAAATTTTAGAAATCGAAATCTATTTTAAAAATTATTGCCACATTTTCTTTTATAAAATCTGCATCGTAATGGTACGAGAGAGAGCAACGAGAATTTTTCCTATACCACGCGTACCTACTTTAGATCAAAACAAATTTAAAGAAGCATAAATCAAATTAAGTGCACATTTATTTTGTATGAGTTTTTGTCTAGACGTATTTCAGTTCTTTATCTTAGATTAAAGCGTCTTAGTAAAATACTATTTCTAATTGACCGTAGGTACCTACTAAAATAAATTTAGTACAAAGTATAAACCATAAGCCCAATGGTAACGCGCCGCTTGGGAAATCGAGTGGAGCGGGTTCAAATCCCGGGTCTCGCACCTCTGATGTGCGAATCATTTCTAACTTGATTACCTGTATTACGGTGAAGGAAAACATCGTGAGGAAACATATATGAGAGAACCTAGCAAGTTTTCGAAAGACGGGTAGTGTCCCGTAGAACAAAGAAAATATATAAAAATAGAAGCCCGCACCCAGCAGTAGGACGGTTAAAAGGGCTGAATACTTACCATATGCTTCCACATTATACGTTAATGTATACTGCTGACCATCACGAACAGTCACGCACTTGTAGGCGCCTGATATCGATTTCACCACATTTGATATGTACAAGCTGTAGGTTTTTTGGTCTGACCATTCCAAATAAACGTTTGAATCTGTACCTGGTCTTGTGAAAGCAATCATTTATTTTAGGAATAAAGTATAATAAAACTTGTAAATTTTTTAAATTTTAGTATTAGTATAAGTTAGTAGTTAGTTTAAAATACAAACGATGAAGGATTTATTGATGTACAAACTTTTTTATTGAATACAAAACAATTTTTTTTTTATATTTTCTTTAATGGTTTGTTAACACAAATCCACTGAACATTGTGCTTTTTGTTAAAATCTATATTAATAGCTTAAATACTTTTAATTTTAAATACATTTTATGGTTATCATAATTATTATAAAAAAAAGTTCAAAAGTCTTTTTTTTAAGTATATAAATCATTACATACCCCACATCTTTTATTTCTTGATTATGTGGATTTAGCCACTTAAGATTTATATCGCTGTGGCCAGGATCTTCACATTTACATCCTTGATAAAAGGTACTTCCTGTTTTAACATTAATAAACTCGACTTGATTGCTTGTAAAGCAAGCGCGGCTCTCTGGAAGAGAAAAATCCTGTTACTGTCACCCACGCTTCCCCATCCATCAATTACGACGGGACTTTCGGTTACCATGATATATGTATATGTATACGTAGCTACAAGTAGGGCGTACGAATTAGTCGTTAGGACCAAAGTCCTCGGACAGTGGTAGAATTTGGGAATTTAAAAGTATTTGTAAACATATTTAATTTCATTTGATTGAAGGTCAATATCAATTAGAAAAGATCATAACTATACAAATGTAAATAATCGTGTAAATATATTTTTAATATATTGACATGATTTTGAATTTATTTTTATATATTAAAAATATATTTACATGACTAAGTATATATTTGGCACACGTTTGGTCACTTCCTGCGCCAGCGGTCGCTGGTTCGAGTCCCGCTAGGGGCATTCATTTGTGTGATGAGTACGAAAGTTTGTACTATTGTCATGGGTGTTTATATTTATAATAATTGTATGTATTTAAAGTCATATATGAATCAACTATCTGGTATCCATAACACAAGCCTCGTAGCTTACCATGGAACTAGCTGGTGCTATGTGTAATAATATCCCAACATATTAATTTATTTATTCATATTACTCTTTGATCTACTCACAGAGGAAATATGCATTTAGTTGAGACTTTACTATCCATAGAAATCAGTACGATAGAGGCTGTGTGTGATTCTAATGCCGCACTTTTATATATACATATTTAAAATCGTATCGTAAAATAAGATTTTTATTTTATCTATAAATTGGAAAAATGTTATCACTGTGCCACATAATCAATATTGATCAGGATTGGTGTGTGTGGGTGTTACATATGTTTTAAAATTATTTATTATCTTATATTTAGGTATATGATTTCATATATTTGCAAGATATAAAAAGTTGCGTATAAAAAGATACTTGAAATTTAAACCATCAAAACTTACAAATAAGTAAAACCCACAGAGATTATATCGTCGCCCCTAATATCGAATATCGAAAGATTGAGTGGAGTTTGTCTGGAAATGTTATTTAAGTTTGGTAAAAGTTTGGAAGATCACAATATAGAGCTTGCTCATACCTAACATTGGCCTTCTAGTTCTGTATAAGCTAAGTAATTTATACTGATACTCCAAGTATGAGATTGATGATGTGATCTTTTATTTATAAAGATATATTAATAGAAGTTCTTATATGGTTTCTGTATTAAAATACATAATTAGATGTTCCTTGTATATATCAAAAGTAAGAGAAGTCCTATATATTATAGAATAATTAATAACTTCGATAGTCTTTGTTTTAAATCACAAAAACTTAACAATACATTATTAAATGCAATTTCGATTTGAAATTGATATCGTATTATGCATATATGTAGCTATATTTTTTTATCGTACATATTTTTATTTTATTTTATCGTGCACAATTCTAATTACTACGAAATATTCTTGCTACAAGTAATACTATATTTACAACATGTTGACTTGTAATTATTTACTAATTTTAGGTATTAAAAAGTTAAACGTATTTAAAAGGATGTTTAAAAATTATTCAAATAACGAATGTCAGAAGAAGAGCTTTAAATCTTCATAAACAAGAATGATGTAAAGATTTTAGTATCACATGTCGTTTACGAAAGATCCTACTACAACATGAGCCAAATGTGCTTTTAAATAGAACGGTTTTAGGTCAAGCTTTTAAAAATAGTAGAAAAAAAGCTCAAATATTAATTATTTATAAAAATATTACTATATCGCTTACTTTAAAATAAAATGTTACAATTATTTAATTTATAAGCTAATTTTTTTTTAATTAAATTAATTAAATAATCAATTCTATATAAAAATAATGATTATTATTCAAAGTATAAGGCAGAATATGATTTTATTGGTAACAAATAGACGATTCCGGCGGCTGTGTTGGTATAATAGATACATAATATTCTCAACTAGTTACGATGAAACGCGGAAGTATTTCAATACTCATAGAAACTAATTAAAGGCCAAATAAACAATTTTTATGTGTCTCTAACACTCTATTTAAGATTTTAATTTCTACCTTTTTAAATAAAACTATCTTTTATTTCCGCGGATTTATTTTGATTTTTGGTTTCCGATATTTCGAATGCTTTACAACAATCATGGTCACGGGAGAGACTAAGGTGTTAGATGTCTCAAAGGCATTATATGGTTGTGACAGACAGCCTATCCACAAAATAACAAAATGAATTAAAAAATTACAAAAATGACACCAAAGTTCAAAAATTACAAAAATGGCATCTTACAATATTTTTTCATTTTAATTCTAAGCATTTTAATTTTCTTTTTTAAATATTATCGTTCTCAATACTAAATTTAATACACTGCACTAATGCCTGTATGCCTAAAATAATTTTGCGAAACTGCGTAGCAGCTGTTCGTGCACATCTGATGCCCATTTTATTAGTATCATGACCATTAATGTTCGTGTTTTGTTCTTAATAATATAACTAGGTCAGTTGGATAGTAACAGATTATGCAACGAATTATAAAAAGATAAATATAAAACACTCTACACACTTAACGGTCCCTATGAGGTCGCCCTTTAGGGTTTCTAATTCTGGCATATACAGTACACACTACACACGGACACATACATTCAGAGAATGACAAATATTTACATATTTATTACTTTGGGTCAATCAATTTTTAAGTTTAGCTTCAGATAATTAACCACCTTCAAGAGTATACCTAATATTCTATTCAATAAAGAAAGAATTACAATTATTTTTCATGAAGATATGATGCAATATACACAAAAAAGAAAAAAATATACAATATAATGTCCTTAACATCCTTTTTTGGAGTCAGTCTAAATTTAACTACGAAGTTATATTTAAAGCTTTTTTATTTACTACACAAATATGTTGTCTTACAAGAGTACGGTCAGTCATCTCTTAAGTTCTCTACTCTTTACTAAAGTAGTAGAATTACATGCATTGATATATAAAAACATAGATATTTCCTAACAAATATCTCTTTGAAAAATGGCGTCGACATGTGACGTTAAGTCAAACCAAACAATAAAATTCAAAAATCTAATGTTCTAATTGTCTAAACACAAATTCGAACTTAACTACATCATGTAAAGTTCTTTTATAAACAAAACAACGTGCGTTTTAATTTTATCATCCAAAAAGCAATGAACAAAAGAGATTTGAAAAAAGCGCATAATTTCCAATTGTGCACATTTTTTTGAGGACACTTTGGATACGCTAATTGTGTATCTTGAGTTTTTGTACATCAATCATTACATGCCACTTTTCTAATACACACTTTTTCTAGTAAGCAAGCTTTTTACCTTTACGTTAGCAAAATTTTATTCAATACTACCATTGCCCGCGGCTCCGCCCGCGTTCAGTTGACCAAATTCTTAGGTTTTACATATAAGTAGTATTTTTACATTGCAGTTTTTGTATTTTTTCTCAGAAATAAAAATTTTCCCGCGGTAAAAAGTAACGGATAACCAGCTATCACCATACCAAATTTCATCAAAATCCCTCCAGAGGTTTTTCTGTGATGCGGTAACAGACAGACAGACAAAAATTCTAAAAACCATAGATTCGGCCTCTGTATCGATAATAATGTTTATTTCAATAAGATTTTCCAAAAAATATTTAATGCACAGATTCGGCTTAGTTACAATTTTATTATACCTATGTATAGACTTACTTTTGAACGTGTGAAACGTGCTAAGCTTGTATTATTATATCTATGGTGCCAACGGACATTTACTATGGGAAACACTTCATGTAAGCGGAATATAGTAAAAGTACTCTTTGTCCTATGGTACTCTCCGGACTCCAGCTCATATTCGATGCAAAAAATAAATTGTTGCACCTTTGTTGCGCAAAAGGACGACAAATTAACAAAATTACGCATATTTATATTTAAGTAAAGGTTATTTACTTAATATGTATTTATCATATTAACCTTAAAGAAGATAACTATTCCCACAAATTATGATAATTCCGGAAGCTACGTGGGATTGATGACGACTGAGTCGACATTAAACTTGACTCATGCACTAGTTCTGATAGTTAAATTAAATGTAATGTAACCCTATACTTTTATAGGGATTGAAATAATCTTTTATGTGACTTCATGCTTATTCAAGTTCTAGAAATGTACCTACTATCTATACATATAATAAAATTCTGACTAAGTCAAATCTATACATTAATTATTTTTTTTTCGGAAAATCTTATTAAAATAGTCTTTATCATCGATACAGAGGCCGAAGAATTTTACTCTGTCTGTTTGTCTATCTGGAACGTATCACGAGAAAACCACTGGATAGACTCTCATGAAATTTAATGATAGCTGGTTAGCAACTTATAGGATACTCTTTAATACGGGAAAATATCTCATCTTTGAGAAAGCTATACTAAACGTTAAAACTTAATAATAAAATACGTCTACAATTGCTTTAATATAATATTATAAGACAAAACTAAACAACATGTTGGCGTCGCACAAGGCCATATTGATCAAGGAATTTATCTGTGACAAGATAAAATTCGAAAAACAGAAACTTTAAAATTGGTGTTGACAGAAAGAATCGCTAAGTTGTTTACTAAGTCAAAGTCAAAGAAAGCTTTAAATAAAATTATTTTTTCGAATATTTCGCGGTTTCATTTTGCTTTTTTGATCCCAATATTCCGAATGCTTTCCAGCAAACATGAAACGTCTAAAACAAAAAAAAAACAAATGTTATATTAATTCTTAAAGATCCTGGTTGGTTAACTAACTAGTGTTAAAATACTTTTTACTTATAAAATATTTTTTCTTTTCATAATCTTTATAGACATCTCTTAAATTGTGGTCTCATTACTGCATTGAAGTCTACGATTTAATGATATTTTTCCCATGTGAAGGAATTAGCATATAGAGATGCTGGGGTAGTACCCTAACCAATTACTAAAATGAAAACTATATAACTACTATACAAATGCAACAATGGACTTATTCTGATATTATGGATAATTTCTTAGTACCTAATAGCTGTATACTAGGAATTCTTGAATTTAACTTAACCTTTAATAATGAGAGCATGAAAAAAGCCTCGGCGAAAAGAAGTAGAGCATATAATGAGAATTAAATATTGAATATACATAATACAAAAATGTATTATTTATAAACACATTTATCTATTAAAAAATGACAAAGGATGTGAGTACGTCCTTCGTAAATATTATAACAATTGAATTCACTCTTTAGGCATATGACATTGGCTGTGGCCAGGCTAATCAGCGTCCATCTAAATAAAACAGGAATAACTAACACGTCACGGTACGTTACGAACTATATACTTACTAATATTATAAATGCGAAAGTGTGTTTGTTTGTTTGTTTGTCTGTACTTCTTTCACGTCGAAACAAAGTGACGGATTGCCTACTTTTTACCGCGGGAGTTTATTTTATTCCCACGGGAAAACACATTATAATACAAACCAAAAATTATTTGTGATCAGAATTACTTGAAACTTGGTATTAATACTTTTAAGTACAAATTAATAAATACGTAATTTAGCATTTTTCGAAATTCATCCTATAAGGGGGTAAAATGGAGGATAAAAGTTTGTATGAAACCTACCTTTTTAGAGATATTTTTGTAGCTTTAGCGCAAGCGAAGCCACGGGTTCTGCTAGTTTCATATAAAACAAATGTTGTCTCAATTAATTAAACAGTATCGTGTAGACGAGAATCAACATTGAAATATGGAATGCATAATTACAAACCAAATCCAACAAAGTAGCGAACTAAATAAAATATCCATTGTATCCAAGCTAGTTTCCAGTTTAACATTTGAGTTTAGCTATATGAAGTAAAATTATTATATACTCGTATATAACTACCCGTTGGTGAAGTGGCTAGCATGTACAGCTGCAATCTCTGAGGTTCAGGGTTCGATAATCGGCTCTGGTTTAAATAGTGACTTTCGATCATAAAATTTCCTGTGGTAATTGGTAGCATGGAGCGATCCGGCTGCCTTTAAGAGAGAGATTTCTTGCATATACGCCTTCATACATATGTATATATTGTATATATTGCAATATATTCTGCGTACCTATGCGATCAGTCCCTACTTAATTACTTACATAATCTATAAATACATGTAATAAAAATGTAGAAATCGAATGCTAATAATCGAGCCAGGGGGATGTAAGAAGAGAAATAGAACAAATCTACTCTTTCGATCATCCTCTCGCGTACCTCTGCTAAACGTCTGGTTGAACCGTCTGGTTTAAGAATAAAGCAATGAAACATTCAACCTTAGCAAAAAAATAAAAACCGACTTCAAAAAAAGCACTAAAAAGTAATCATTCGCTAATTTTCCACCCTTAGGGGTGGTATTTTAGTTTTGAAATTTAAATGGGATCAATTTGGAAGTATACACTTTCAAACAAAGCAAAAATTATTCAAATCGGTCAATAAATGACGGAGTTCTGAGGTAACAAACATTAAAAAAAACATGCAGCCCAATTGTCTTTTTGAGGAAGTCGGTTGAAAACGCAGTCATGTGGACTGCCGACAGAAGTGAAAACTTAAAACTATAAACAAACAGTTGTTATTTTTGGATATTCAAATTAATTGTTTGATCTTAAACTAAAATTTGTAAAATATAACGTTTACATTTATCTGGTTTTGACATCTTTCAGCATTCGGCACTCTGAGTGTTAGCGTTAACCCGTCACGTGACCACGTCCATGACGACTTACATGAATTTCCTCCCCCCCATCCAATCCTATCTATAGAAGTTTTCACTGCAATAATAACATAACGGAACAGAATTTATTGTTAAAAATAAGTGCCACTGCAGCGATTAATATAGCGATTAATATATTTGAATAAGTAATTAAAAACATAATTTTTTACTATACATTAAATCTTTGATCCGTCAATTTAATATAAATAAACCTCGATGTGTACAAATTCATAGATGTTTACTATTTTAGATTACTCTAATTTGGTCTAATAGCCTGAAACTTGATAGTATCTAATGTCAAAATATGCTTTAATTATCGCGATACCTACTCGCGGCAGATACGTTGAGTAATAATAATTAATATCTCGGCTTAGATGGAAATAGACGAGCTTCATCTTAGGATATTTAATGGTCCCGAAAATAGCTTCTTGATGGATTTCAGAACAATGTTTGGCAAGATTTACCAAGTTTAATAAATTATTCAGATTGGTTCAGAGGTCATATTATACGGAAGAGGGCGGTCAAGCGAAACAATAATATCGAGGATTGATCTCCGATTACTACTTACATATGTTCATGGTCGTTAAGACTGCAATAGATTGCATTACCTTGATTATGTTCTTTGTTTATTTTTATAATGGCTTTAAGCCATACAACATGGTAACACTTGTATAATATTATCCTTTACTTGGACTAATAATTTGCTACTTAGGTAGTTGTCTTTATCTTAAATTTTTGTAACATTTTATGACTTGAATATCTATTAGATAGAATTTGGCTTGAAATATTCTAATTTTTATTTATAGAAAAAATAGTAAATTACATTTTCGAACATACATATAATAAATCAAAATCCACCATCCTGCTAAGCTTGCGTTTGTACGGGCTTATCTCATAAACTAATGGAAAGATTTTAGTAATTTTTAAAACGATAGAAAAACGAATTATCTATAATTTATGAAAGCTATCGATATGATGATATTGGTTAAGGTTAATTAAGTAGGAAGAAGTCATTTTTTATTCTGAGAGCGTCCGCCATATTATGCGAAGAGTTCTACTAATATTATAATACTGTTTACTGGATTATTTTATTTTATATCCGATGAAAAACTTTATTTCAACGGGCACGTTAAGCTGTTGAACCCGTTGTTTTTGAAACAAATACAGCGTTAACGTATTGAAAAAAGAAACATACGTACATATAAAATATAGGTACCTACCTACTTATTTAAATGTAGTTATTTATAATATAATCTCTATATCTGTATAATATAATAAAATATAATAAAATAATAAATAGGTATTATAAATGTGAAAGTCTGTATGTATGAATGTTAGTTACTCTTTCACGCCAGAACGGCTGAACGGATCTGGATGAAATATGGCACAGAGATAGATTGTAGTCTGGAATAACACAGGCTACTTTTTATCCCGGAAACATGTACGGATCCCGAGGTATCGATTTGTTTTTGTTTTTCTAGTTAATTAGCTTTTAGTTATATAAATAAGTAAATAAGTAACAATAAATTTATTTGCTATTTATCCTAATATTAATTTGTTTTATAGAATATCAACAAATATATCTAAAAATTAAAATCTCATTTAGTTGTTAATTTATCACAAATTTCAGTTTCAGAATAACATTTATTATAGCTAGTATATTTGAAACTAAATGGTTTGATCTTGTTAATTAGATAACGAGGTGGAAATTTCCAAATCACTGCAAATTTTCACGGCCGTTGAATTTGCTTTCATTTATGGCTTTGGTTATGAGATGTATTATGAGAGTAACATTTAATTTAACATTATAGTATTATAACGAAGTAATAATAATTAATTTACGTTAGTTACGGTTTAGGAAAATACTGTGATATGTTAAGTCCGTCAGCCTGCAGTGATCCAACTTGGCGGAATATGATTGAATATGCCTCAAAGCAGGAGATTCGAAAGAACCGAATCAGTATTTTGTTAACACAGCCGTTATATGGCAACATTCGCACAGTTTACTGTCTCGAAGTCCATATGTTCAAAACTTAAACAGGCTTAGTTATTAGACATGTCATATACATTTTATATACATTTTTAGTGATTGCCTCAGCTCTTACAGCCGTCATAGATAGGAGAAGAATAAAATAAAGATCCGTAAATTAGGCAATTATTTAATTTATATTAAGAAGGATTCCTACGTCAATCTTATCAATCTTATATCTTTAAACGAGCAAATCTTGTGTATATATATATAATCTGAATCTCGGAAGCGGCCCCAATGATTTTCATGAAATTTAGTATTCAGGGGGTTTCGGGGGCGATAAACCGATCGGCCAAGGCGCAAGATTGACAATCATACGTGTCCGAGTTTGAATCCCGGTCGGATACAAAGGTATAATTTATTTTTGTTTATTATTTGTATTTATTCAAGTTTTTAGTTTTTTTTAAAAAGAAAATTGTACTTTTGACCAAAAACTCCGAGTGAAGCTCGGTGGCCCAGGTACTAATGATTAATATCGCAAAATACGTTTCCCATAACTAATAAATGAAATGAACTGGAAACAAGATTTCTAAGTATTAAAGCGGTCTGTAGCCATCATAACAAGTTAACATTTATTAAGCCAAATATTTAACCGAAGTATATTAATTCCACCATGATGACACCAATAGCGCACATAATTTTAGGAATTGGTACCGCCTTGCTTAACGAGCTCAACTAGCTGGTGACCGAACGCATCAAATTGTTTGATATGCGTGTTGAGTTACTCTTTTTAATAACACTCATATTATGTAATGTTTTACAAAACTTTTAACCTGTTATGAAACTTTAGTCATAATTTAGTTATAACAAATCGTTTTCGTAAGTAAAATAAGCTTTTTATATACTACGTATGTATATTGTATTGTATAGATGCATTCTGCTTTTACGAGAATAGCATCTTATTGCGGATTTATGTTAAGTTTTTAGCAATACTGATATTATTTTTTAAATTCTTAAAAATTATTTTTTTTTGTTCAAATTTGCATAAATTCAATTTTGTACTCAAACCTCGATATTAATATTAAATTAAAAGCTCTAATAAAAACTTTTATAAGGATATTTTAACTTTTTTTCCATTAAACAAAAGGAAAAACCTCTAACGGGTGATTCTTTGTAACACGGTTTTGCTATGTTTTTTACTGGAGAACATATTTAAATATTTTCCGATAAGAAAACAATTCATAGGTAACATGTAAAAAAACAACTTCTATCGAGGCCTTATATTTTTAATTGTAATTAATTAAATTAAACCTAGTTAAAGCTTACAGATAACATCAAAATCTAATGTATCTGGCGCGTCCGAATGCCATTTTTCTTTGTTCCAAGTTTGTTTTCAGCAAATAATCGTCGAAGGATTCAAAAATTTTTACACTCAGTCGATCTCTGAATATTTGATCGTTATTGTTTTTATAATTTGATCCGATATATTATTATATTCTTAAAGTTACAGAGCTTTACATTTTGTCCGCGGCTAAAATTATAATTTATCTGTACTGACATGTTTGTGCATATTATATAGTATAATATCTTAATATTCCGTTAAGTTACACCGAGAAGCGATTGCCCGTCTCAGTCAGCGCCGATGCGTCGAAGGAAGCACTAATATTGCTTCATTTTTGAGTGATAAATTACGATTTAAAATTGAAATCTGGACTTTGTAACGTGTCAAGGATAATTAATCTGCGCTCAATTATAATTATTTGCGTAAGTATAATGATTTTTTTAATTTAATAATGATATATTATCAAGTTAAGTGACACTAATAATAATTATTTAATTCTTATTATATTTAAAGTAAAAACATAGTATTCGATTATGTTAAAATTTCTCATTCATCTGGTTATAATTCGTCTGATTTTATCTGGCATTTTAATACCAGATGAATTTGAAAACGACAGATTAATTAGGTTTAACCCAAAAATATTATTGTAACTGAAGCAAACTTTGTGTCTTAAAAAGAGTGTAACTTTTAAAACTATAAAAAATATATTTCGTTAATATTTTACTTGTTTACTACAGGATTAATAGCATCAACTAATCAATAAAATTATACACTTTTAGGTCTCTATTTTCAAAATGGCAAAATCAAAGAAGCAAACAAAAGAAGAAAGGCTGATGAAGAAGCGCCTTGCAGAGAGAAAAAGATACGAAATGATAAAAAATAATCCAGACTTATGGAAAGAAAAGCAAGAAAAAAATAGACAAAGTTACTTACGTAGAAAGCAGAAACAGAAACAATTACCTATAAACGAAATGACTCCTAGACAGCAAAGGTTACAGAGACAGACATGGAGGAAGAACTATCGTTCATATTATTTAAAAAAGAAGCGTGAAAAAAGAACAATAGCGCTGCTAGAAGAAAATACCCCACCACAAAGTCCTAGCATTTTGTCAGATACCGAACCTGTAGTTTTAGAACACTTGGCTCGTAGCCTTCCAGCAAGCCCATTCTTAAATAAAAGCTCGGAGTGTATGATGTCAGGACCGTCAATAACTTTGCGTAGCATATCTACACAGTGCAATGATTTTAAAACGAGTACACCATCTAATACTAAATCTCTGTCTTCCTCATCTGTTACTTCTGCCATAAGACGTATCCGTTACCAAAAAGATAAAGTAATAAACGTTCTTAAAAAAAAGTTAATAAGCCTAACGCAACAAAATGAACGTTATAGAAAACAACTTAAAAAAATGGCTTCAAAAAGCGTTCAAAATCAAATCATTAAAGTAAAATCCATTGTACCAAATACAAAACAAAATTGTAATTTCGAACCTTTGCCTAATCTTCTAAAACAAGAAGTCCGTATATTTTATGAGTCCGACGAAAATAGCCGTCTATGCTCAGGAAAGAAGGAGTTTATTGTAAGGAAAAAAATACGAAAGCAAAAGCGGTACCTTAGCGACAATCTTTTAAATTTGCATAAGAAATTTTTGAAATCTTCAAATTTTACCATTAGCTATTCAACATTCTGCAAGCTAAGACCATTTTGGGTTTTGCTACCTGATTCTCGATCACGTGACACTTGCTTATGCAAATTACATACTAATATGGATTTAGTCATCAAAGGATTGTATCAGAGGAAGATAATACCCGTTATGACCTCCCAAAATCTTCTTTCAATGTTATGTTGCGACATGTATAGCGTGGACTGCTTGCATCGCAATTGTTTAGCATGCAAAAATAAAGTAGTTTGCTATCAGGAGTTTGGAATACCAATCCTTGACTATATAAGTGAAATAAGGGCAGGCATTCGCACTTTACATTTCATTTCTGATTCACCATCCAGTCAATATCGTAATAAAAAAATATTTCATATGATTTCTAGCTTACACATATACCTTAACTCTGTCGATACCATTACGTGGAATTACAGCGAATCTGGACATGGAAAGGGTGCTCCAGATGGCGTGGGTGCCGTGATAAAGAGAACTGCCGATCGTGCTATGTCTCAGGGTCAGGACATAAAGGATCTGGATGATTTTTTAACTGTTATGAATCAAAATTTAAAAAAGATTAAATTAAAAACTATTTCGGAATATGACGTATTTGAAAAAGACTTACTGTTCCCACAAAATATAAAAGCCTTTCCCGGATGCATGAAAATGCACCAGATAGTTTGGAAATTAAATTTTCCTATGATGGCTGTTCGAAAACTTAGTTGTACGGATAAGGCTTGTTTGTACGAAGTAATCAGCTGCTATCATAAGAAACACATTGGATTTTATCACTTAGAAGAGGTATATCAGAAAAGAATAACAGTTACACCCTTGGCTGACTCGAAAAGGCAATTAAGAGAAATACCTAAATCATTTTGGTCAGTAAATAATGAATCAAATGGAAATGATGGCGTAACTGGGATAGGAGATCTTGTACAAACTGTCACTAATAGAACTACATGTAAAACAAACAATAACCCTAATACACGAAGTGCTAACCAAAATAATAAAAGAAAAGTAGACAAACTAAATGAAAGAAAAGATCTCGATAGAAGTGGAAGGACTGATAGAGTAGAACAGATTATGCTATTGGCAAGATCTTCAAACATCGATAACATTTCAGAGATAACATTTTCAAGAGACGGCGATAAAGATTTTACTGTAGATTTAGAAAATATTAATCCATATTTAATGGATGACGATGAGGAATTTAATATCTTCTAGCATTTACTAATTAATTGTTTTCTAAATTTTCTTTATATTTTTTAATGCTAAACGATTTTATTAAGTAAGATTAAGTGTTTGGCGATCTCGTAATTGAAGTTCCTTTAATAATTAAGGCTGACATAGATTTATATATTATATAGATTGATATATTTTAGATAGGTTACTACAATTTTTATTTCTAAAATTTAGATATTTGTATGGATAAGAACTTCTATTTGCGTTGATAGTATGACGAAATTGGTTATAAATATTAGGATTAAATATTAATTATATTATATTGTTATTTTTTTATTTGCGAATGTCAAAGTATTTTGTTTTGTTTATAACAAATTTTGTTAATTTTTATAATAAATTTGATTGAAATTAACATGATATTATCATTTATATGTACAAGTCAAATTAATATGGATGAAAATCTCATATATCTGATTCAGTCCTCATTCATCTGATTGACAAATTCATCAGCACACTCTAAATCAATAAATACTGGAAGTAAATCAGTGCCTTCCATAAATGTTGTTATAATTAGTGACTCGGGCAAGGTAATATATATAGTAAGATCAAAATGTAAAAAAAATATTGAGCCAGACCAATGAGCCAAAAACACTAGGTTCCGAAGAATCACCCTAACAATGAATAATTAAATCTCCATTATATAATACTTTGATGTATAATGTATATTATGTATTAAATAATAAAATATTTTGGAGAAAATATTTACCTACTTCTATTTCTTTGGTAAATATTTTTTTGTTATAATATAATCGCCGTATAGAAATAATCCTTTGACTTTATAATTAACTAGTAGAATCCGCGTCTTCGCTCGCGCTAAAACTACAAAAAAAATCATGGTAGTTTCATAGAAACTCTCATCCCCTATTTTACCCCCGATACGATGATATTTTACGACGTTTACGATGAATTTCGAAAAATGTTTTAACACGTATATATTTAATTTGTTTATTGAAGAGCATTAATACCAAGTTTCAAGTAATTCTGATCATAAAGTTATTATTATTATTATAACGTGTTTTCCCGTGGGAATGAGATGATCTCCCGCGATATAAAGTAGCTTATGTTACTCTTCAACCCTCCAACTATCTCCACACAAAAAATCACTCCAAACCATCACTCCGTTTCGACGTAAAAGAAGGACAAACAAACAAACACATTTTCACATTTATAATATTAATATGGATATTCACTTATTATCAGGAGTTAAATTTTAAAGCTGGCACTGGAATGCGTGTGATGTGGCCTTGTCTTGATCGCCTTCATCTATTTGTTGATTGTAAACATACATCTACGACCGCTTTAGTAAATATCAATTGACGTTATATACTTTTTTCCATCATGGTGTTTATTCTTTATTAATATTTTAATTTATTGTATGTATTCCTTATGGGTATAATAAGTTAATTTGCTGTCCTCAGTAAACGTGTCTCGATTGTACTTATTATCATCCTTTAGGAATTATAAGTTATTGAACCAATGAGATTTGATTTTAACATAGAAAATATATTTATGTATAATTGTCGTCAGATATAATAAAATAAATTTCATTAAATAAAATTTCATTATGTTAAAATAAAGTATGAACTATATCTTATTTTACATAAATACTTTACACTTTTCTCGTTATTTATGCGCTCTGGATTATTTACCTATTTTATTACATGTTCCGCTAGAGAATTACGCATTCAGGAAATAGCACTTAGGCATTTATATATCAAAAGTGTTCTTTTTTTTAATTTTTATATTTTAATTTCGGATTATAGAACAATTATAATCTGAGATTTTAATAGTGAAATGAAAAAATCGAAAATATAATCGAAGACAAAATAACAGGTCAAAATGTTTCTTTTCTTGTTAAAATGTTTGAAAAACTTATTTAAAAATGGTAAATCCGTAGTTTATTCTATCATTTTTAACTAGAAGTAGAAAAAATATTCCATAGTAAAAGGAAATAATTTTCAAATGATAAAACTAAATTCGAACGATACAAGAATTTATAATAACCGAATTTATTATACAAACAAATCGTTTGTAAGTATAAAGTTCAATAAAAAAATAATACAAATAAAAAAACACTTACCTGTAAACAAAACATTTAAAAACAAATAAACAAAAAATCCTCTCAAATCCATTTTCGAACGAACTTTAAAAAAAGAACAGATTTTTCAAACAAATTTCCCGCTTAGAACAAAATGTCAAATTTTAAAATTCGAACTTGCGTTCCGTAATGCTCTAATTGATTTATGCGATCATACGAGCGACTAGGTTTAATGCGACTGGCGTTACTGAACGTGCACGGTGACTGTTCGGAAACGGGACGCATTGTAAACATCACGCTTATTTTTAGAGCCAACAATAGTACTAGTCTACTTCTAAAGGAATGTCATACTTAAAGGCAAAAGGTTCCGAAACGCTTTATGGATATTCAAGAGTTCAAATTCCATCTAGAAATAGATGTGTTACAACGATGTCACGATATTTAAAATAGATTTTGTTTAACTATCTTTGTTAGCAAAGTTTTTGTTCATTTTAAATCTACTCTAATATGTAGGTAATGTTTGTAAAGGACGTAGCTGGGGTAATCTCTGAAAGTACTAATCCGATTTTAAAAATTCTTTCACTAATACTCCTATATTACCGCCGAGTTTTATTGCAATATTATTTTTTTACTGTGACTGATACTTTGATGACTTTAATTGAAATCCGAAAAAAATATTATTATTATAATATTATAGATGCGAAAGCATATTTATTGATCTGTCCTGCTTTAATGCATTGACCGAATAATTAATCAATTTGATTTTATACTTAAAGATAGTTACGGGCGGAAAACATCTACTATTTTTTTCAATTGATGCACTCTTAAAAAATTTGCCTACGTAAACCTAAAGGAAGCAGAAGTGCGTCACTAGTTTTATTATAAAATTTATACAATCTCAAAATATCATTAACATATTATATATCTAGCGAATTTTAATATATAATTTTTTGTTTGCCTAATGTATCATATTTTAAAAAAGAATTTTCCGTAAATCTTTTAGAAATGTTATTATGGTCGCAATAAAAAAGCGATATTTTTTTACTCTGCGTTAAAATTAATGGCTCCTTTTTACTGAAAAGAATAACATTAAGAATAGGCGAGCTTTTTAGGAAAGGGTGCAAAATATGCAAGGTAGCTTTAATCATTTGTTTGAATTAAGGATTTGTATTCACAATTTTCCGTTTACCTCATAAATTATTTAGTAATTCTAGACCATTAAAAGAAAATCTAAACCATCATAAATAATTTAGGTAACAGATAAAGTTACATCTCCTCTAAAAGCAAATCGATAATTTAAAAAGGAGAGAAAAGTTATTGATTTAATATTAAACACTAGCGACTTACCCTCGCTTCGCTCGGATTCGTCTCTAGGTACGTTTTAATTTTTTTGAACGGAACTTTAATTCTTATACTAAAATAAAAGGAGCCTATGTTACTCCTTATAGCATCAGCTATCTGCCAGTGACAGTCTCGTTGAAAGCAGTCCAGCTGTTTCGAAGATTAGCTAGAGCAAACAGGCAGACAGACAGATAGACAGACAAATTTTTTGAAAATTGTGTTTTTCTTATAAGTACCGTATATTATTTTATATGCATTTAGTAAAAAGCTGTTATTTTGTAATTACAGACACTTCAATTTTATTTAACTGTATAGATGTATAGATAATATTTTCCTGGCCGATTTTGCCAAGAAATTGACAGGCGCAGGACAGATTGCTTTACGTGTTCTACGAGGCACGGGGATGAAACACCGCCAACTTCCCAACTTTCTTACGTCCGTTATTGAGATTTTTTAACAATAGAATCAATCTCAATCTCAATAACTAAACTTAGTCCGACACTCAAGATATAGAATCATATACTCTAGCCACTAAAGCACTAGACCACGTCTGACGCAGTTTAAATATATATTAATATCATAGAAAAATATTTAAAATCGAATTCCAAAAAAATGTTTATAGAGGCCACAAAAAAACTTTATATTTCATATTATCTTTAAGAAAAGATAAGAAATACATTAGCTTATTTGTAAAGTAGATGAGTACCTACAAAATAGAAATTTTTAGTCTCACAGGGTGCATAAGTATATTACGTAAGAACACAAGTACATGTACGCTTTAGTCCGATATTTAAAAAAAATAATTTCTGAAATAGTTAAAAATACGTTTACAGTAAGTTTTTATTTTCAGTTGATATTATTTCAATCAGCAATCGCGTTTTTTGTGTTTCTTGATGGATATTACGCGTTGTAAAATATTTTTTACGGTTAATTAAATTAATTAATTAGTAATTAAAAATGTTGAAATCCTCAATTACATTTAAAACATTTAAGAATTAAGTGTACCTTTATATACTCGTACTACGAACTCAATAGCTGTTCAATCATACGTGTTACATTTAGCCTTTACATAAAAACATCCATTAGGAATTAAAGCATTGAGTGGCAGTAACCGCTCGCCCAGAATTTATCTTAAAATATTCCCATTAAAATATTGTAAATAAATTCTAGGTATAATATATACATACACATAACAATAATGGAGAAATATATTATGTATACCTATGTATGTATGTTATAATTATGTATATTTTATAGTATATTTAAATTTTGGTATGTCTTACCGTACAATTACATTATTTTTTTCTACCATTATGAAATTTTGACCTAGAAGTAATGATCACAAGTGATATTTTAGATTAATTTTGAAAACAGGATTTTAAAGAATAAAAATGATAAATCACTTATATTAATATATGAACTAACAGTAACATTGCTTCTAAAAAATCCATACTAATAATATAAATGCGAAAGTGACTCTGTCTGTCTATCTCTATCTGTATGTATGTTTGCTGTCTATCTGTTTATTACCTTTTCAGGCTGATTTAGATGAAATTTGGTATGGATATCTCCATATCGTTTAAGACCCTGGGAAGGATAT